GAAAAAAGGGGCATTTCAAATAAATAAGAGATTTTCTTTTGACACAGTTATCGTTGCATAATTTATAAAAATTCAAGAATATTCTACACTCTTACGTAATTAATCGTTCTGAAGATCTGAAATCTGAAAGAGTGAAATGGTATATAATTATTAACAAGTTATTTTTTGAGTAAAAAACAAAACCTACTTCAATTCTCATATAAAAATTTAGGAGTACGGTTAATTTTTTAATGATCCAATGATGGGATCTAAACCGGATTCTTTCCGATGCAAAAAGAATTATCGAAATCGGTTGACGTGGTCAAAAGTTATGCGGTAACATACATCAAAAAAAAAATATTCCGACAAACTGATAAACTCCTCCTTTTTTGGAAGTCGGTTAAAAAGTAAAAGGGCAATTTTTGCTTCAATCTTAAAGTCACCAAAAAATCATATTCGCTTACACTGAAGCTAATTTATGAATGTAGTAGGTGTTTTTAAATTATTTTAGGCCCTTAGTGAGTAATCTACCGACTTTTGAATTTCGAAAGAATATTATATGTGTGGTGTAGTCCCCCATGGTCAAAGAAACATCGCAAAAAATTCAGAAAAAGGGTTTTTTTCTTGCCCTCGGCAGGCAATCGCAAACCTCCGAGTGTATTCCTGCCATGAAAGATAGCTTCTCATAAAAATACACTCGCCGTTCGGATTCGGCGTAAAACTGTAGGTCCCTCTCCTTTGTGTGACAACATCAACAACACTACACAACATCTGCCTAACACTAACACATGTGTGAGCGCCAATCTATTATTATTATTTTACTTTACTACTGAAATATGTATGTATATGGTTGTGAATTCGTTGGGAATTTTGTGGGATAAATTGAGGGATTATGTGGGTAACTGCGGGATTTTTTCTCGATTTTCGTGGGATTCTTAACAGAGAATGTCTGGCATCACTGTACTGTGGTATTTAATTAAGAGATATACATAGTTCTTAAAACCAAGGTTATTTAGAGCTTTGCTTCAAGAAGTAAGAGGTTGCCCCTCTCAGATTTCTCAAATAAGTGTGAAAAGATATAAGAAATAATTGTACTATGCCAGTTTTGACACAAAAATGTGATAATCTGAATTGCATTCAATTTTTCCGATTTTGGTTAACTATTTTTCGGATTCGCCCAAATGCACTACATTAGTCTATTAATTAAAAGCAAGGCGAAAATTTTAAAAATAATTAAATCACTTTAAATTGGGTCCGTTGATAACTGATGAACATACATGTATATATGTATATATGTACTTGCATATGTATGGATGATATAATACAGGTTTGCATACAAAAGATGGTATTTTATATGCAACCTTGACTTTGACGTAAACTTAGTGACAGATGAAGCAGAACCACAGATTATATATCTAAAAAAAGAACTAAATTTAGGAATATGTACAAACAGAAAAACTCAAACTACAAGCTCGAAAACGGTGTTTCCAAGATATTTTAACACCCCTGAGTCACTAGTATTTACAAGTATCATATTTTAGTAATCATACCAATAATTTTATGTATTAAAAGAATTAAAAATTTAAATTAATAAAAAAAATTAAATAAGAAAAATGAATTAAATTAAGTGAAATTAATGTATAATTTCCAACCTTACCTTCATGTGTATATACATATGTAACTGAATCACCTAATAATAGGTTTACATATTAGTAGATTATCCTCATTTTCAAGCTTAACTTCCTAGTCAGTGATTAGAAAAAGAGATAAACTGATATCTTTTCGGTGTCCAACCTAGTTTTATCGCTTATATTTGCGAAGAAGAGGAGGAATGTCAAATGTAAAAGTAAACAAAAATGCTAGCGTCCATTCCAAAGAAAAGAGTGTGGTAAAAGTATTTTTAATAAAATATTAAGTTAAAATCATCATCATCTACCAATACTAATGCCGTACATGTACACCCCGTAGCGAATGTCATGCATTAGTTACTTAAGAGTCTTGTACGGAAAGGTCCGTCTTAAATGACTTTGGGCTCCGTTTGTATGGAAGTCGTTCATGACTTTTTCATATAAATGGTAATTTCGTCGTTGATGTCATCTGCATGACTTTGCCATGCAGTGATCATTGATGACATTCAAGCGACAATGTCCTGCAATGAACTTTTTATAAGTGACCGCTGCATTGTCTGTTATAAGTCTTTGATAGGAGTACACCTGCATGACATTGTCACCAGTGTCATTGTCAGCTATATGTCGTTTAGGATTCACAGCAAGTGCAACGATGTCACTAAATCCTCATTAGTGACGATGTCAGCGGTGACCATTTTCGCTACTGGGCATGGGCGGAAATGCCTCGTAAATGTATGCTTTAATATTGATACTGAATTACAGAAACGTGCTATGCAGCAGTTTAGGAATAAGATGTATGTATGTATGTACATGAATAAATTAGACTCAAAGAAGGAAGAAGGTAAAGTAGAGTATGGAGAAGAAGAAAGGGATAAATACAGAAATTAAAATAAAAGTCAAGAAACCTAAATATAAAGAGAAAGAGGAAGGAAAATTTACATACCTAACCTAATAACAATGGTGGGGGTGAATATGTAAATGAAGAAAAGAATGGACATATTTAGATCAGGATAAAGGAAAAGATAAAGATGAAGACCAAGACGACGAAGATGAAGATGAAGATGAAGATGAAGATGAAGATGAAGATGAA